CGTGTGTGTCTGTGTGTGAGCTTCGGGTGATTTGAGAAGGCCCGCAAGTGTTTCGTGATTTGATTTTCTGTTCCGTAATATAGCTGGATGTAAACCTGTACACGTAAGTTCAGGCATATCCAGTTATAATACTTCGTATAAAGGGCCAAAAAAGTGCAGATGCCTTTGCCTATTTATTGGAAAAAAAAACAGTCTTATGCTAGTAATCGTTCTTTTCCGTTGAGTTTTTATATCGTTGATGCAATTTATCAAGGTTATACATAAGCTTTTTGTATACACTGGGAGTTTCTTAAGAGATTCATGCACTTGTTCAATGCAAACCAGTATTCTTCCATCATCCTATCCAATATTCGCTAAGTTTGCCCTCCCACAACTCAACCGACACCTAATTTCTCGGAAATTCAGCACCGGCTTTGTCCACAACGGGGCGCTTTTCAATCCATCCCTCTGACAAAAATGTGAACTTCAGAAAAATAAAAAAAAGAAAGTCAGTATCAGCCACTAGACGCAGAGAAACCTGATACTGAATACCGCCGCATTCGGTCATATGGGTTGTTTCTTTGTTGCCTAACCAGCGGCATGCTCCCAGAGGCGAGGGACATAGCCGTAGGAAGTCTGTGCCTATCCTTGCTGAGCTCAGCAGTATTATCCGGAAGAAAAGACGAAGCAACGGTGCGTGCACTTGACTTTCGTCCGAAGTGCTCCGTCTGTCATGGAGCGGGCGTGCCTAATGCCTTTAGACCAGTGACGTCCGATCGCGAGTTGACATAAGCCCCCCCGTTGTGCCACCGAAACTATTCCTTGCAGAGAATTTTCAAACCCCCTCCGTTGATGGTAGACGTAGAAAAGGAGAAATATTATCAGTTTGCCGGTGGAAAAAGAACGTGGTAGCCATTTGTATCAAGAAAAATGAAGGATTTTCTTCTTCTACCAGGTGGTGCATCGCCTTTTGTGCGGCAGGTGCTGAAAGCGCTCTTCCTATTGATTTCGTCGGAAAACCGTCATTTTCGCCTTTTAAGACGCTTTATGCTTTGATCATAAGCCGGAATCTTCCTACGTACTTCTCACGACAACCTTCGTATTCATTCTTATGACAAAATGTGCTTTCCAACGGGAGGCGCGCTCTGTCAATTGATACGTCACGAGAAACAGCATTCTTGCCTTTATGACAGAACAATTTTTCCGGAAACATATCCACCATCGGAAACCAGAACTTGAAGCCTGGTACACCTCGCCACGCTCCCCCCTTGCTCGATCAAAGATAAATGCATGTGATCGGTTGAAATAGTAGTAAAAGGGTGCCTTAGTGGTTTCTTTCATGCACATTTGGAGCTCACGGAATCGTGTGTCACTTCCTCCATGCTCGCACGTCCAAACCTGAACACCTCCCCCCTTGTTTTTCCAGGCACCTAGTCCGCAAAACGATCGCAAATCAAACATGCCGTCTCTTTACCACGCTTCAACGTTCGTAGTTGGGCTCTTGCTTGCCAGCACTGGGGCAGGGAATGCAGAGGTGAGTCCGTCCTATCCGCCTCTTTACAAGGAAGAGCCGTGGAAATGCTGTTCTCGTTCACACAACCTGATAGGATACCCGTCATCCTTCGTACTTCTTACATGCTACTCAACCTGCTCCACTGCATCGACATGGCTGACTATTAATTGTACAGGTATTGCGAGGGGCCGCTGATAAAGAAGAAGTCACAGATATCTACACGAACCCGAAAGTCAACGGAGCCCGGGTGGACTGGTGCTACGGTATAGCGTCTTTCATGCCCCTTGTTTCCCTCCTTTTTCCCTCCTTTCCCCTTTCAACTACCTATATACCTTCCTTCTCATTGTTTCCAGGCATGCAATGAATGGGGCACATCCAGGAGGCTTTCCCCCTTCCCGTGAATCTCTTGCTGACAAAGAGATGCGTTGTCTCCCTCCTCCTCCCTCCCCTTCCCCCTTCCTGCCCTCAGGCTACGACTTCCGAATGGGCCCGGGCACGGACAATCCTGCCGCTTTTCTGGGGTGTGGTCAGGATGCCGCGGATGCCTATTGCCGGCTAAGGGGTTACGAAAAGGCCTCGGTAGGGCGGGAGGGAGGGAGGAAGTGAGGGAG